TATCCTAACACCACAGTCGTCCTATTGAACTTAAAAAATATAGCATATATATATATATATATATATATATATATATATATATATAGAGAGAGAGAGAGAGAGAGAGAAAGAGAGAGAGGAGGGTGCACGGTGGAGTAATGGATAGCGGCTTGGATTGAGGAAGGGGAGAGCCAAGGTCGAATCCATTACATTCACTTACGTGCTAACACCCTTGGGAAATGTATGAATCCTCTTCTTCTCCCTGTGGTAAATAGCAGGACTGACTGGGTTCTATAGCCTTGGATGTCAACTGGTCAAGGAGAAAAACAACTTTGAATTCAAAACCTGCGGAGGGTTGTTTGGGGACCTTTTGGCGCCGTGTTCGGTCCTTTAAAATGTGTGGATGGTTCTGCACAACAACAAAAAGTAATAAAAAAAATCAAATCTCGTGTGCTTGTGTCGGGCTGTCGGTTCCTATGAGGGTCAAGCAGATCAGTTCCCAGGACCTTTACACGTCGAATCAACGGGAGAGTCGAGTATGTATTCTATATGCGAATGAATTATAATGGAAAAAAAGGGCCCCAAAATAAAGAAAAATTGCAAGAAACAGGTCTTAGGAACTCTCCTTGCCGACTAGCGATTATATTTTTTCGGAATGTTGTGATATACGTATCCGAAAAAAATCTGGGTGTCAGAAAGGAGTTTTTCTCCTGAGACCGTTGTTACTGGAAACTCCCTCCGCATTTTCCATTGTTTTAAAAAGCTATTTAATAAGTTTTTTAATAAAACCCAAACATGAAACTGGATAAATGCGTTTTCTTTTTTTCCTCGAGAACTGACACCAAAAGAATTAAATATTATTTATTTATTAGATTGTTTATTTACAAATTAGCAAAATTATAAAATATGCGAAATAACTACAATGCAATGTTTATTATTTTTCCAACCACTTGAGGCGTAGGGTCGTAGGGGCACCATGTATACTGTAACTGCAGTACATGTGGTGTTTGTTGCGCAAGATAGCCTGACGGAGCATAACTGTTGTATCAATGTAAATAGGGTAAATAATTACAGTACCTCATCTCAGAAATACAAACAAATAATGAAGAAGCTTCTGAATATGGCAACGAAGATGAGGACAACAGCCCGAACAATGTAAATAATGTTAATAGTTACTATACCTCATTTCGAAAATATAAACAGATCCTGAAGAAGGTTGGAGCGTACAACGGCCGAAACGATGTGAATATGGCAACAAAGATGCGGACAACAGTCCGAAACATGTAAATAATGTTAATAGTTACTATACTTCATTTCGAAAATATAAACAGATCCTGAAGGAGGTTGGAGCGTACGACGGCCGAAACGTTGTGAATATGGCAACGAAGATGAGGACAACAGTCCGAACAATGTAAATAATGTTAATAGTTACTATACTTCATTTCGAAAATATAAACAGATCCTGAAGAAGGCTGGAGCGTACAACGGCCGAAACGTTGTGAATATGGCATCGAAGATGGGGACAACAGTCCGAACAATGTAAATAATGTTAATAGTTACTACACTTCATTTCGAAAATATAAACAGATCCTGAAGAAGGTTGGAGCGTACAACGGCCGAAACGTTGTGAATATGGCAACGAAGATGGGGACAACAGTCCGAACAATGCAAATAATGTTAATAGTTACTATACCACATTTCGGAAATATAAACAGATCCTGAAGAAGGTTACAGCGTACAACGGCCGAAACGTTGTGAATATGGCAACGAAGATGCGGACAACAATCCGAACAATGTAAATAGTGTAAATAATTACAATACCTCATATAGACAGACTATCTGTTCATTAGACGGTTTATTTAAAAGTATAATGTTTAACATCTTTGTTGCCATTTCTCGAAAAAGATTCGTAGGGAAAATACAGAAATAGAGATATCAAAAGAAAAATTCTTCTTTTTGATTCAGCGTTTGTTTTTTGTTTTTGTTTTTTTTTTAAATTTTTTCCGGGTCCTTCTCTTATATATGCCACATCTCTTCAGGACATGAGCAATTATGTCTCTCCACAACTTCCTATCTCATATGACGCTTAGTAGTTTTTCTCACTTTGTTTCGTCTCGTTCCGCTAATCATTCACAGAATTTTGTCAATTAAAGGTATAGCTCTCTGCCTTCCCCTGTCGCTCTTGCTCTCAATACACCCAGTGAGGATTAGATTTTCCGAGCCCTCCTTCCTCATTATGTGTCCAAGGGATTTTAGTTGTCCCTTCCTGATTCTGAGCATCCATGTTCTTTTTGTTGCCATTTTCTTTAAGACTTCCTTGTTGCTTACTCGCTCCGTCCATGGAATTCTCAGTATCCTTCTGTAGAACCATATTTCTTGTTGTGTCCAGTTTTCTCCTCATCCGTGGAGAGATTGTCTGGCATTCACTGTCGTATAAAAGGATAGACATCACATAGCAACAGAAAATACTTTTCTTGGTTTCTAACGATTTATTTAATTGTTCCATTGTATTTATTAATCGTCAAATAACAAAATTCAAAACTCTTGAAAAGAAGGATGATCGTAAAATCCATCTGGGAGGGCGAGACAACGTTTGTACGACTCGGGTGACAAGGTGTTCTTCCTTATTTCTTTCTTAAACTCTGTCAGCAATAAGCCCGCCTTATATCGTGCGGTATTTTCCTGGCACTTATTAACTTTAATCGATTTCTAATCTCATTCCCAAATTTACGTCATTGACGAAACGCTCACATATACAAATATATATATTTAGTGTATTGGGGCAATAGATTATCATTTAAACATATATTGTTAAATATAACAGACAATGAATATCCATTTTGTCTGATCATAAACCGTTCTAAACTTCGTATAGTTGCTTTAATTTCGGGAGAAAATAAAAACAAAAATTGTCCAACATTTAGATATTTTTTTAAGCTGTTCCTTGATCTAAGCTTTCGACTCACATGAGCCATCTTCAAAGTGGTTATATGGACATTTAAACAGATATTCACTATCAAAAATTATATTCTGTTATATTGACATATAATGTCCGTATAAACAACGGCTCATGATCAAAAAAGACATTCATTGTCTTTTTATATTTAATAGTATATTTTTTAAATATATATATATATATATATATATATATATATATATATATATATATATATATATATATATATATATATATATATATATATATATAATATAATATGGTTCTACAGAAGGATACTGAGAATTCCATGGACGGAGCGAGTAAGCAACAAGGAAGTCTTAAAAGAAAATGGCCATATGCTAGTATATATATATATATATATATATATATATATATATATATATATATATATATATATATATATATATATATAGCAGCATGGCCCGGCGTTGGCCGTGCTTGATTCAAAAATCGTACGACTCATACAGCAATCGCTATCACTTGACTTAAAATATTTTTGCCCTTCTTTTGCCTTTAAAAGGAGTGCCCTTTGCCGTGCTGATGTTGCTACATGCCTTTACTTCTTGCCTATCTCACACTGCGAATTTTTTTCTAAGCTCTATACTAAGCATTAAATCTGTTACGAAAAAGAACTAAACAAAATGAACACAAAACGATCAGCTTTAAAAAAGGACTCGTAACTGGAAAAACCAGAATGAAAAAAAGAATGTTAACAACAAATACTTTTTCACACCCAACCCAGTTCTGCATAATCAGAATCAACGTTGAGTTTAAGCAAGCGAATGAGCCAATTGGATTAAAGTGCCATGCAGATTTAAATTTTTCCCACTTGTGACGAATGCAGCTATCGATTTTTTTTGCATGCTAGTTAACATTCGTGTCAGTCAGCTGTTGGCTTTCACGCTGGCCAATAGAATCTTGCTGCCTATTCGTGGCAGCCAACTATAGGCTCTCATTCTGGACAGTACAAAATGGCTGCAAACTACATAGAAACTGCCGTAAAAGCATGAAAAAATCGATTATTTCTACTATCGATGGGAGTTGGGAAATGCAAAGTCGGTCTTGGGCTTTCCACTAACTTGGAGCATGTGCATGTAAATTTTAGTGCAAATCCGTCTAGAATTTCGGCCGTGCATTCGTTACACACACACACACACACAGAGAGACACACACAGACACACACACACATCCTGCCTTTTATAGATAGAGATAAAATGTCCGTATAACCAACGGCTCATGATCAAAAAGACATTCATTGTCTTTTATATTTAACAGTATATCTTTAAATATATATATATATGTGTGTGTGTGTTTGTGCGTGTGTGTACATATATGTTGAATTTACATTTTATTTTCTTCTTCTCACATGTAATTCGTTTTTGTGCACATAATTCTCGCTACAGAGAAAAGGAATCTAAATTCGACATATTTTTCGCGTTTTACCCACTGTGATCTTTCTATTTTCAGAGAAACGAAATCTCCTACACGTGGGCACATGAATTACAGGCGTTGCACCCACACCTACACCCTGAAAGCATCCGCGGGCCAACATAGTTCTCAAGTCAACTTTTATCGCGAAATTTGCGTTTGTTCATTTGACCTCCGACCTTTGATAAATTTGGGAATCGCCCAAGCCACATCTGTTTGCACTCTGAACTCACTTCTGTGTTGTAACATAGACGATGACAGGCTTTATTTAAAAAGAAAATTAAATTTCATTGAACGTGCCAAGAATTTTGCTTTGTTCTTTACAACCGTAAATCTAACTGTTGTCTACATATTTTCTTACTCCAAACAGGTAAATCGCATGTTAAATAATCTATATGAATAGGTGTTATTCATTGTATAAGCGGTTAGTGGCGCATTCCCGTTCTGAGTAAGGTGCATTTTTTTTTTTAAAGAATCGGACGTTTGGTTAGCTGACAAATTTTGGGAAGTGTCGGGAGGTCCACATATAAATTTATTCGGGTTAATTTAATGATTTTTGTTTTTATTACATTCCCACTTTCGCTAGTAGTGTGTTGTATTTTGAAATGTCAAACATTGTTCTAAAGGGGAGCATATGCTTTCTTTCCTAATCTCCTTGGCAACTGATGTTTCCCCGCTGCCGACTCTCCCATCTGTTCCCCTTGACCTTGTCATGCCATAAGCTCGCAAGGGTACTTACCGGATGTGACGTGTGAAAGAGGGAAAAACGCATGCACGCTTCAGAAAAAAATGGTTCAGCATACCAAATCACAAAAATTAGAATCGGGGAGAAAGTCGATCGAAACGTTGTGATAAACAAGCAAATAGCATCTCTGTCTGTGTGTTTGTTTGGGGGTTTTTTTTTTTTGTGTGTGTGTGTGTGTGTGTGTGTGTGTGTGTGTGTGTGTGTGTGTGTGTGTGTGTGTGTGTAAAAATTCAGATATAAATTAAATATATTTGCGAAATAATGTAAATAAAAAAAGATGGATACGCGTTTCGCTTCTTGATAATGTTCTGAAAAACGAAACACGTTACATAAAACAACTTTTACTTTTATCATATATATATATATATATATATATATATATATATATATATATATATATATATATATATATAAATATATATATATATAAGTTAATATATGGTTATAGATCCGAAGTAAAAATATATACGGAAAACAAACAAAAATCCTAATATGCAATTATGCTGTTTTAACATTAGACTACATTTAATTCAACATGAAAAGACGATGGACATAAGAGTAAGACTAATCCAAACAGATAACTGAAATTTTCATGTTGAATTGAATATAGTCTAATGTTAATTATGTTTTATGAATATGTCCTGAAGATGGTCTACTAGACCGAAACATCCGACGTTGACATTACATTAACATTAAAACAGCATAATTGCATATTAGGATTTTTGTTTGTTTTTCCGTATATTTTTCTTCATATATATATATATATATATATATATATATATATATATATATATATATATATATATAAAGGTGGCTAGACGATCACCAGGCACATTTGTGTTTGTTCAACACCCACAGAGTTCAACTGTGGTTTATACTCCAACTATGATGAGCAGACCATAGTTACATTTTCTGGGAGAGAGCGTGTTATCTAGCGTGATCAACAATCTGAACAAGGCCAGCACGCTCAAGCCGTCGGTCACGATGTCTTGCGATTAGCACAGCTATCGACGTTCAATCTATCCAATTTCACTCACGAGGCTTGAGTCAACCCGTGGTATGGTTTTTCAGGCACTTTCCAAAGGTGCCGCACGCTGGTATCGCTCCCTCTCAAGACCGTTAACACCCTGACAAAACAACCCGTGGTGAGATTCGAACCCGGGTCGCATGGTCAGAAAACGAACGTTCGGTACTCAAAAGCTTCCATGTTTCAATACCATGGTTGTACTTCCTCGGACGATGTCAGATAAATTGTGATAAAAGTGATTTATTGGGAAAATTTAAAAAGAAATCTTTATGTCTTTTCGGAAGTTAATTCTGACCTTTTGCACACCCACCCACCGCTTTAAGTTCCGAAAAGAGGTAACGATTTGCTTATAAATTTCCCCAGTAAATCATTTTTTATCACTAGTTATCTACCATCGCCTGAGGCAGTACAATCATAGTATAGAAACATGACTGCTTTTGTGTAGCAATATATGATATTTGTTTTTATCATAATCTATTATAATAAAAACAATTTATAATAATATTATATTTTGCTCTACTTGGCATTGAGCACTTTTTCTAAAAATAAATGCTACGAATTGTGGATTTTACTCCATATGTTCTTTTCTCTTATTTGGACATACATACATACATACATATATATATATATATATATATATATATATATATATATATATATATATATATATATATATATGGGGGTGCGTGAGTGAGTGAGTGTGTGCGTGTGCGTGTGCGTGTACTTATGTTAAAGCTACTTAATTAGTTTTTTACATGTGTAAAAAAGTTGTTTTTTTTCTTTTCTGAACTTAATGAATGTCCAAACGTTTGTTGATTTCAAATGCTTTCGGCAAAATTATTAGTCATTTCGACGATGTTTTATTAAATAAAATTAACAACTGTTATGTAAATGTTACTGCTGCTGAAAGTAGATATATTCTAATTTACAAATACAGCAACTACATCATAGTTAATGTCATTAAAGATGGGTTATTTCTTTTTTTCTTTTTTTTGTTGTTGTTTTGTTTTTTGTTTCGATTTGTTTTTACAACAAGCGACTCCATGATTTTTAACAGCTTTTGCAGTGATAGTTACTTAACACATTCGTATTCTCGACAAATATTTTCCGGATCGAAGTTGTTATCATTTCATGCTGGATTAAATGTGTCCGCAATGTCGGAAAGATGTAGTGTCAGTCGTCTTGACAGCGGATGGTCATGTCATTATTTATGAGTTTGTATTTCATCGGGAGGACAAATTCCTTTTGGGATTCTAAACCCATAATAGATTTGTTCTGATTTAGATCTGGGGCATCTAACGTAATACTGTGGTTCTGATTTAGATTTGGGGTCACCTAAATTAAAAATGACGAACTGATTTAGATTTGGCGGCATCTAAACATATAATGTTGCTCTGATTTAGATTTAGGGCTTCTATAATAATAATGTTCTTCCGATTTAGATTTGAGAAATTTAAAGTAATCACGTGGTTCTGATTTAGATGTAGAGGCATCTAAACTCATAATGTTGTTCTACTTAGATTTGGGGCATCTAAACACATAATGTTGTTTTGATTTAGAATCGTGCATGTTAACTCATAATGGTGTCGTTCTGTTTTATTTGATGCATCTAAACACATAATGTTATTCCGATTTAGATTTGGGGCGCCTAAAGTAATAATGTTGTTCTGATTTAGTTTTGTGGCGTCTAAACTCATAATGTTGTTCTGATGTAGATTTGGGCCATCTAAACTCATACTGTTGTCCTGATTTCGATTTAAGGCATCTAAACTCCTCTTGCAGCTCTGATGTAGATTTGGCCATCTAAATTCATAATGTTTTTTTCTAATTTAGATTTGTGCACTTATAACTCATAATATTGTTCTGATTTAGATTTGGACCATCTAAACACATAATTTTTTTTTTCAGATTTAGATTTGGGCCATCTAAAATCAAAATGTTTTTTCTGATTTAGATTTGGGCCTTCAAAACTCATAATGTTGTTCTGATTTAGATTTGGGCCATCTAAACTCATAATGTTTTTTTTTCTGATTTAGATTTGTGCACCTAAACTCATAATATTGTTCTGATTTAGATTTGGACCATCTAAACTCATAATCTTTTTTTTCTTTTTTTTTTTTTGATTTTAGATTTGGGCCATCTAAACTCATAATGTTTTTTGATTTAGATTTGGGCCATCTAAACTCAATGTTTTCTGATTTAAAATTTCACCATCTAAACTCATAATGTTTTTTTCTGATTTAGATTTGGGCTATCTAAATTCATAATGTTTTGATTTAGATTTGGGAGTATCTAATCGCATAATGTTTTTTTTTCCCATTTAGTTCTGATTTTGTCAGCATGATATTATTTCTGATCAGTCTAGATTTTTTTAACTTGATATTTTTAGTTCATGTAACAGGTCTGTTGCATTTTCTTACTGTTCCAATAAAGAATTTATACTGTTTGCAATTGTGTTAACTGATTTCGAATACATTTATTATCTATGTGAACTATGTTACATGGTGTGCTTTACTAACGGTCGTGTCATAGTATAACTCTAACACATGTTTACGTCATCGGCGACTGAACCGGTTCTTCCACAAGCTTTTCAGGTTAAGAAGGTGGATAGAGTCTCAGTAGGATAAAAAGCAATCCCTATCAAAATGCGAATGAATTTTCTTGTATTGTAAGAACAGTAAGAAGGTAGTGAAAATATATTTCTATAATTTAAATGGACTAAATACGGGACATTTGAGCTGTCACTGAAAGGCCAGTACGGGGTAGGGGACAAAATTAAACAATAGGAGACATGTCCCGTATATAAGCGACATTTGGCGACCCTAGCATTGATTATAGTCCCTACTCTTTAATGATTCTGTTAATGAATTACTAATAAACATCCAAGCAGAGTAATCACAATATTTTATGGTCGTTTTATTAAGTCATTTCCACAACAAACTGGTCTCGTTGTTGGTATTTTAATTGTTACCAAATTATCACCAACCAAATACTGGCAGAGAGATCAGCTTCTTTGCGTCTAAGTCCAATATGAGGTGATAACATTTGTTTTGGATGTTTACTATTTTCTTTTTTCTCACAGGACTAGTTTCCATTTATTCCGAAACAAAATAAATAACCAAATTTATCTCTGGTTAAAAAGAAGAAAAAAAAATAGAAAGAAAAGAAAAAAAAATGAAACAAAAAATACGAAGAAGAAAAACTTGTTTTTACTATTCGGAGACGAATATTATTATCGTCTGTTTCTAACAATAATTGCTTCGCGCTTTTGCCTTTTTTTTCTTTTCGTTTTTTCTTCTTTTTTTTTTCTTGCTGTTCATCTGTTACTTTCATTTTCTTTGTTCTATGTTTTTGTACATCTTCATTTCTTCAGAAACGTTCTTTTTGACTTAATCTTCCATTTCCATCTCAAGATTTTCACCCTTAATTTTTTTCTAATCTCGACATAATTTTCTTTACTCTTTTCCAACCGATTTGTTTTCTTCATATTTTTTGTTCTTCCTCCTTTTCTCTTTCACTCGTTCACTTTAACAAACTCGTCATTTTCTCCATTTTTTTCACTTCACTGAATTTTCATTCTCATTTTTTGTTTTCATCATTTCCTCCTGTAACCTTCGTCTTCATATGTAAATTAGGTCTTTCCCACTTTTTTTTTTCTTATTCTTTTTTTCGCTTTCCTTAAAGATACCTTCTACTTCTTTTCTCATTCCTCTATCTTTTTTTAAAATTCTTCTACTTTTCACTGTCGCTTCATTAAACTCTCACCCAGTTTCCTTTTCTCTTTCTTTTTCTTTTTTTTTTTAAGATTCCTTTTCCTACTCTTCTTATTTCTCTTTTTCTTCATCACATACTTTTCTTTCTTTTTTTTACTATATAAGCGCGCTTTCTTTTGTTCTTTCTATTGATGCTTATTGCATTAACTTCTTCTTCTCCTCCTCCATCATTTTTATTCTTGCTTTCTTTCTGTATCTCCTTTTCATTCTAGTTGTCTCATTTTCTTCTCTCTTCATTTCTCTTCATATCGCTTTTTTTCTGCTGTCTTTTACTTTATTTATACTTTCTCAATCCGTTCTCTTCTTCTTCTCCTCCTCCTCTTCCTACTCCTCTTTCTTCTTTTCTTCTCCTTCTTCTTTCGCCTCCTAACCCTTATTCTTCTTCTTTCTCCTTTTCTTCTTTCTTCTTCTTTTCCCCTCCTGTCTTCTTCTTCTACTCTTCTTTCTTCTTTTCTTCTCCTTCTTCTTTCGCCTCCTGTCCCTTATCCTTCTTCTATCTCCTCCTTCTACTCCTTCTTCTTTCTTCTTTATTCTCCTCCTCCTTCTTCTTCTCCTCCTCCTCCTCCTCTTCCTACTCCTCTTTCTTTATTTTCTTTTCCTTCTTCTTTCGCCTCCTACCCCTAATTCTTCTCCTTTCTCCTCCTCCTCCCCTTTCTTCTTCTTCTTCTTCTTCTTCTTCTTCTTCTTCTTCTTCTTCTTTCGCCTTCTATCCCTTATTCTTCTTCTTTCTCCTTCTACTACTACTTCTTCTTTCTTCTTTATTCTCCTCCTCCTCCTCCTTCTTCTCCTCCTCCTCTTCCTACTCCTCTTTCTTTATTTTCTTCTCCTTCTTCTTTCGCCTCCTACCCCTAATTCTTCTTCTTTCTCCTCCTCTTCTTCATCTTTTCTTCTTCTTCTTCTTCTTCTTCTTCTTCTTCTTCTTCTTCTTCTTCTTCTTCTATTTCGCTAACAGAACGATCTTTCTTTCCTTACTTTCTTTATCCTATTATTCTTCTTCCTTCTCCGACTTTCAAATGTTTTACTCCCCCCCGTTTTTTCTTTCTCCTTCCTTCACCCAAATATTCCTACTCGGCTTATGATCTCCGAAATATTTATTTCGCCATCCATGTTCTTTCACTTTCCTTCACCCAAAAGTTTTTCCTTGACCTACAATCACCCAAATCTTTATTCCTTCGTTTTTTCTTCTTATCAGTAGAATTTTTATTTCCATTACGACGCTTTTGATATCATCATGTATACACGATGTCCAATGAAATAAGCAATTTAAAATCCTATTTCTGCGTTCTTATATTTTTCTCTGATACTTTTCGGAATCTCATTCATTTATCGATTCTTTCTTGTGACAAATTCAAAATTGGACCATTGTCCTTAATCAAGCCATAAAGGTAACTTCAAAGCTAATGCCGACTTTTTGCTGATGGTTAATACCTGTGATCTCGGTTCGCACGGAAAGAAACGCAAAGACGTTCTTTCCTCTGCGCGGGTAACGCCGACAAAAGACAATCAGATTTCTAGATAATTCGATAGGTCGACAAAGCCCAGTGATTAAATTTTAAAAGCTTAGTTAATTGTGTTCCACAAAGTACATCTACACACAAATTTGAGACGTGTAAACAAAGTTTTCTTGTGACATAGAATGATTAGATTTACAACAAAAAGTATGTTACAGGTAGGTAAGATCAGACTGAGATAGATAGATAGATAGATAGATAGATAGATAGATAGATAGATAGATATGAAACAAATATGAAGAGAACAAGACAGGTGAATAGACTGCTACATAGATATGAATAGAACTGATAGATAGATAAATAAATATGAACGTAATATTAACAGAACAAGATAGATAGATAGACATACCATATATATATATATATATATATATATATATATATATATATATATATATATATGTATATATATATGTCATGTTTATCGATATATATATATATATATATATGTACATCATATGTATATATATATATATATAGAGAGAGAGAGAGCGTCAGACAGACAAACAGACAAATTGACATACCACTTGTATTGTTTATGGAGGCGTTAAAATATGCTAGTTTTGCCATATGTAATAGTATGCTACTTAAAGTTCGAAGAATTTTGCCTATAAAAATCACCCTGACAAGGATTCTTTATACGGACAAGTAATTTTCCGCATTCTACGTATCTGGCATTTATTTGACCGTTAATGCTGTGAGTGTCATAAAGAAAAGTTTCTATTGACTTTATCCTGACATCTCTGAAACGCTACATTTCAGTTTTAAAATGCGTGCGAAATATTTGAAATCGAGGTTAATCGAACGTAACGCGTTTCATCCCTCGAAAATTATTTTACGGTCAATTTACGTCCAGAATCAGACAACACCTCTCCCTTCCTGACAAAACTATTGCTGTGAGATATTTAAAAACAAAAAACGATAAAAAAAATAAAACACATCTGATAGAAAGTTGAATAAGGTCGGCTACGTGACAGAACTCAGTGTTTGATACATCAGGCGCCAAAACTTACAAAAATTAAGTTTATAACTAAACGTCCTTATGTTATCAGCATTCTTGGTATAAAAATTGTAACCAACATGTCCTGTATTTTTTTTTTAAATTTATACAGTTTTTAATCATTTCATCTCATTACTAGGTAATAATGCGACTAAGATGCGAGAGCTCACTGAGAATATGAGAAAAATATACTACTAAGGAGAGAGGACAATACAAGAACAAGAATTAAGAAGACAGAAGATAACGGGTGACATAGCTTTTCAATTTTTGAAGATCAAAGTTGTACTGGGAATCAAGAAGCCGGAAGAGAGTACAACCAGCGAAAAGTACGAGAGAAGAAACTGTTAGCATAGAACTTACAGTTACATCTACCTATTTCAACACTATAATGATGAGACCTTACCGCCAATCTAGTACCGCGCTTATGTTCGTAAAGTTTAGGTGCCATAGAGAAAAGTTCATTGGAACAATTATCATGAAAGTATTTACAGAAAAGTCAGAGGGAATCAACATTACAACGATGGGAAAATAACTGTGACCGAGATGCGAGGTCAGGAACAATAACATTGCAGATTCTTTTTGGGATTTTATCAAGAATTTCTAAATATATAGCAGGAGCACTAGACCAGATGTGACAGGCAATATTCAAAGTAAAGAAGAATAATAGACACTTATAAATATCTAAGATAGATTCTGACGAGAGAAAAAATTGTCTAGCACAACAAAATGAACCAACTTTCTTAGCTGCAGTCGTCAGTGTACACTTTCCATTTCATGTCAACTGAAAACGTTAGTCCGAAGAGGACAATAACTCATTCTCTTGGAGGTTAACATCAGCCATGCTGAGGGAACGCAAAAATGTTTCTCTCAGATTATTAAAAGAAAGCAATTTCATTTTGGAGGCGATAAAATCAACAAGCCACTCATTACCCCGTTTAACAAAAAATTGTAGGTCATTTTGAAGATGAACTTCCAATTTGACCTTATCAACCCTATCAGATTTACTATTAATCCAGGAGTAAATAGTTGTGTTGTCAGCATAGACACCGAGCTGTGGATGGATGACATCATAACAGCCATTTAATAAAATCAAGAACAACGTTTGTTCAAGGGGAACACTTGCATTAATGGAAAAAGATCTAGACGAGTGGCCATTCAAGATAACTTTCATTTCGAGATTTGATAAGAAAAGCTGAATTAGTTCAAAAATTCGTCAAGAAATATCATAGCTATTCAACTTGTGAAGGAGGCCAGTATGCCAATCCCTGTCAAATGCCTTCGAGATATCCAAATCAACAAGACTTCTATCAGATAAGCAATATTGCTTTCGCTTCCCAAGGTCAACTGCTATTGCGTTAACGATTATTTTCTGAAGGAGTCTATCAAACTTTAGATATGAATGGAGAAGATGAGTCATGAGTAGAATTTGAAGAGAATTTACGGGCAAAATATTCTGCTTTATCAGCAAATGTTAACGCCACAAATTGAGAGAGGAGAGGTAGAAGACTTGACCTTATTTAACGGACTATTACAGAGCCGCTAGTAATTAGGTGGACCAGACTTGTTCGAGGTTATACGGTGCTTCATTCTGCAACCAAAGACTTAGCCTCTTTGCTGACACGTTGACAATAATTTCGGGGAGATACAAATAAGCGCCTGCTGTAATCTGAATTTTCACACTTGTACACTCGGAGAAAGTGATTCCTGTGGGCTATAGCGGCTTAACAGACGGGTGTGAGCCAAGGAGAAGATTTTGGTTTCACATGATATTTGCGATAAGGCACAAAAGCATCAATGCTGGCTTTAACACAAGAATAAATCTTTGTGGCACAATCCTCAATAGGAAGGTTAAGAATATCAATCCAAAGGGCGTCTCGAATAAAGTCACAAAATGAATCCCAATCAGTATGCTGGTAACAGAAAAAAGCCTTGTTAATAGGAGGTTCTTTTCTAATAGGAATATCAACAGATACTACAGCGTGATCCAAACTTCCAAGAGGACGGAGTTGTGATGCTTGACAAGAGCTAAGAGAAGTGGTAAGGAACAAATCAAGTAAAGAAGAATGTTGACCTGATATATTGGGGAAATGAGGGGGGAAATCCACTATTTGATTGAGACTAAGCAACGGAAAAAAACTGAAATTATGAATACCGGCAACATCAGTAACATTAGAATGCTTAAACCACTTGAGATGATGAGCATTAAAATCATCAAACAAATTTTTTTAGTATATATATATATATATAGGTTGCGATGGGGAAACTGCCGCTAGTCACATTTTTAATATATATATTTCAAGATATTTTTGTGTAATTTTAGTAAATATATCTGTTAAAATGAGATATCAGTGTTATTTTCATTTTTGCGCAATTTAGACGTCAATTTATCTATCGCAGTCTATATATACATATAATTGCTGTTCATTCGTCAGACAAAAAAAGACATGAATGCTGAAATGAAATTTCACTCGAAGAAAATTTTATTGAATAAAATTTGCACTTTAGCATTAATATTGTTGAAATTTGGTAAATATATCTGTTTGGAGGCCGACAATTTCCCAAGCCAATATATATATTTTATATATAATAAATTATTTTTAATGGACACCGACAATTTATTTATTAAAGACATTTTTATTAAACGATTTTATTGCAAGTATTTAAGCAAATGCTCTGTTTATGATAAACAGTATTAAATAACATTACCGGCCTGAATATCTAAAAATTTTCATGAAAATTTTCATTCTTTATTGGGCCTCGAACCTGCATCTTAAAATTCGATGCATCCTAAAATGAGAACCGTCATGTCAGTGTTACTTTTATTTTGACAAGTAATTTAGACGACAGTTTCCTTGTCTACCAACGCGCAGCATATATATATATATATATCAATTTCAACTTTAATTTTTAGTGGATATACATATTTGAGTAGACACTCCGTTTATTTTTATTTTTATTTTTTCAAGAATATTACTAAAGAAAAAAGCGCCTTTCGAGAGGAATCGAAAGTGCTTCCCCCATTTGCAAGAGAAAGCGTTGCTAGATCTGGCGTGTTTTGACTCGACTAGGCCATGAAGAGCATTGTCAATAACGCATGGACGTATACTGCTTTTAAGCACATCCTTCTTGTTTTAGATTCCCAAAAGTTCATAACTGTTCAGTTTCAAATCAAAAACGTAATCAAAGCAATTTCTAAAGAATTAATGGATTTTTATTTATTAATCTGGCAGATTATTATCACTTCAAACCTTATTTTACATGGATACGCATATTTAAGTAGAAGTTCCCTTAGGTTTTAAACAATATACTAACATTGTATTGATTCTTCTCTCTCGTAAGCTTGCTCGTTCTGTTTTGTCTTCGTTCTGCATAACCCTTGTGTTCCTTATATTCTTCAACACAAAATGGCATAAAACATTTTACTCGAAGACTCAAAGCGATGCTGCCAGTCATATTTGCTAATTTGTTATTTGTTTTGGCAGAGAAATTAGCGGAACCGAAAAAAATCTATGTTAATATTGTTATTGCAGGATGAAAAGTAAAGTAATTTATCTGGCTAATTGATTTT